AAAAAAAAAAAAAAAGTTCATAAAAATATTCACCCATATTTTCTCCTGTAAATAACGGTAGCACTTCAGGCTAGGATTTTAGTGTGGGGATCGAGCAAGAATCTAGCTTTATTCCCCTACCCTGCCAAATGACTTGTAATGTTACACTATTAAATATCTGTTTTTCTTAGTGATATTTAAGATGCTGTTTTCACTATATACCTTAATTGAAGACACATTTGTTTTTTCTCCTTTTTTTTGTGAAATATTATTTATATATATAAAAGTTTTATTTTTTTACATATTTTTGTGCATTTTCCATCTCAGTTGCAATCCCCTTGGGTTTCCCATCACCAAATCACCCTTGTGCCATCACCATAGTCCAGTGCATTTCCCTCCCCCACTGTTTTTGCTCCCATTCCCCACTCCACCCCCACAAAATGTCTGTTATATAGCTGTTCATCATTATCATTATTATCTAGCCTGTTCTGTTATATTCCTGCTATGAGAGAAACCATCTGGTATTTTTCCTTTTCTTTCTGGCTTACCTCACTAAGCATGATCTTCTCCAGCTCCATTCATGTTGCTGCAAAAGACATGCTTCATTTTTTTGGTTGCTGAGTAATATTCCATTGTGTATATGTACCACATCTTTTTAATCCAGTCATCCATTTTTGGGCATTGGGGCTGTTTCCATGGAAGACAAGTTTTTTTTAAGGCAACTTTGAAAGCATTTTTTTGTTACGTTTCCATTCAATTGTGTGGAATTGGAATCTTCACCAAGAACATACTTAATTTTTTAAAAGTTTAGTTTTAAGCAACTTCATACTCACAAAAATGTAAAAATAGTACAAAGAATTCTTATATATTCTCCATCCAGTTTTCATTAATTTTGACATTTTTATAACCATATTGCAGTTATCAAAACCAGGATACTAACATTGATGCAATGTTATTAATTGAGCTGTAGATAAAATTCAGATTTCACCAGTTTTTCCACTTCTTACCTTTTCCATTACAAAATATAATCCAGGATCTAACATTACATTTAGCTGTCCTATCTTTCCCCAGTTTAAATGTCTCTGTTTCCTTTTCATGACTTTGACACTGTATGCCAGTAACTTGAAGGCAGGATCTGCTGTTGCATACTTAAGCCAGTGAGAGACAAAGTTTGAGGAAATGGAATACTTGCATTACCTCAAAAATACCTCCAGAGAGATAGTCCCCTCTAAAGAATGAAACTTGTTTCAATTTATATTTCTCTAGATAAGAGTGATTTTTACTTCTGAGGACATTTTTATATTTCTTTTTGTGATTGTTCACTGTTGCATTTAATAGTAATTCCCTAATTATTAAATAGTCTGTTCAAGTTACATAAGTTGACCTACAAATATTTTAATACATTTTGTTACCAGAATCAGAATCCAAACAAGGTTACATGCACTTGGGTTGTGTTTTATTTTGTAGGACCTCTCTTTTATTTCCTTGCAATTTATTTTTTAAAGAAGCCAGACCATTTGTCATGTATTCTGAGTTCTGCTGATACATCTCCATCTGTTTTTTTCCCAAGCTGTTTCCTCCCTCCCATACCCCCACACTCCCACACATGTTTAGTATGAACTGGTAATTTGATCTAGAAACTGATCTGATTCAAGCTCAATTGTTTATATTCTTTCAGAAGAGCAAACTAACCTCAGGTAGTGGTGTGTATTTCCACAGGGGATATACACTGTCCAGTTGTCCTTTGGTGTCAGCAGCAAGAATGCCCTTGCCTGACTCCATAACTTTATTGAATTCTTGCAAAATGGTGATAGTCTATCATCTCTTTTTCATTTATTAGTTGGAGTCATCTAAGGAAGAAAACTTGCCCTAGTCGACACTTGGGTTACCCTGTTTATTTTCCTGTAAAAAAGGAAGGATTAGTGCATGATTCTTTCCTTTATATATGGGTTTTGAGAATTTTATGATTGGTTCCCTAGCTTCTTCCAAAGGGGGCCAATGAGGTTTTTTTTTCATTATTAGTGTTGATTCATTATAAAATAACAGATTTCTTAAAGAGGTGATGATATACTTTATTCTATTGCAGTTATTTTATTGATGGCCAAATTGGCCCATCTTTGACTAACAAGAATCTCTCTTTAACTTGATTCTCTTTTTGATAGTTTCCTTGGTTTCTCGTGTAAAGGTGTCCAGATCCTGTGCCAGAACCACAGCCACTTTTCTGAGAAACCTTGTTTCTTTATAACAGGATATGCCATTTAGGGCCCAGAACCTGGAAACCGAGACTTGTTTTATGTCCTGTAGCATTACTTTTATCGGGCCCATTAAATAGTTCATTTTTGCTAGATTTTTGTTGCTATTGTGAAAATGACCTTTTCCTTCATCGCTTCATTCCGCAGAGTAGTAGTAATTTTTCTGTGTGACAAGTAGAAATACTGACCTCTTACTTTTTGGAGGTTTTACTTTGTTTTTCTCAGAGAATTATACCAATATGTAAATAATTTTCTCTATTGCCCCAATCATTCTACTTCTGATTTTGTTCTTTTGTGCAAATATATCTTTTGGCACTTTCTGGTCAGTATTATATACCAAAGATGTTAGTCATCCAAGTCTTATTTATGATATTAGCATTAGGTTGGCTCCCTGATATAAAAGGCAAAATTTTTGCTGAAATGAATGTAGACATTAGCTGTGCTCTGACAATACTTTAACTCCCTTTCACCAGATTATGCCTTATAATATTCTGTCTCTCCCATTATCTTCCAAGAAATACACCTCAGATCACTGTATTATGGTGATCCCTATGCTATATCACTCGTTGGACAAATTCCACAGGGACTGTTTTATAAGATTTCACAAAGATCTGAGAAAGCCCTCAAAATACTGATTAAAAAAAAAAAGCCAAGAAGGGCCCTCCCTGGTGGTGCAGCGGGTTAAAGCACAGCACTGAGAAGCTAAAGCCACTTCAGCATGAGTTCTATCCCACCCAGGAGGTGACCCACATGTTGTGGCAGACCTCTCCTGACCCACCCACTGCTCCCCTCAGCAGTGTACTTCATCAGTCAGCCTGTTCTGCTCCCCACTCTGTCTCTGGTGAATCCTCTCACCACCCCTGCACCTCTGACCTGTCCCCCAGTTCTGTATGCATAAATAAATAAATCTTAAAAAAAAAGCCAAGCGAAGAGATGATATTCAGAGTGGCAACCAAAAATACCACATTTAAAAGTTTGCTAGTTCTGTGTTTTTCTCTTAGGTGTAAGGACTTTCCAAGACTCTTCTATTTTAGTTTTCATTTGGGTGTTATTCCAGTTAGGCCTTGAGAAGTCAGTCATGTGCTACCATGTCTTATTGAGCTACTATGGCAGTAGAGCAGAATGAAAGTATGGGTTTTTGCATTTAAAGGGTGAGGAGACTAAGTACTGCACATACTTAAGACTAAACAGCGGGAAAAGTTGTGAAGAGTAATGGATTCCAGTTTGAGTTTACTGATGTACAAGAGTCAGGGTACAGATATACACTGAGGTGTGATGGTTCGTTTTGGGAGATGGGTCTGTCTTGGACACATCCAGTCAGTCTGGAGCTCTAGGAGCCATTTGCCCCAGAGACCAGGGTTTGGAAGTGAGCAGCACATACAGTAGATTCCCTGAATGTGTATAAGATTTCTCTGGGACAAAAGCTTGGAAGGAATCCTGAGAAACACTGAGATTTAAAGGACAATTTCATTTGCTCCTTAGGATAATTCTGTAGAGATAAGTAATTTCATGGTTTACAATGAGAAACCTGAAGCTAAGAAAGTTACTAGAAGCAGT